AATTTTTGCTCGAGTTATCGTGTACACGGACAGACGGACAGACGGACAGACGGACAGACGGACGGACAGACAGACATGGCTTAATCGATTTCTTTTTTCATCCTGATCATTTATGTATACATTTGTCTATATCTATCGCGATTCGTTTTGGCTGTTACAAACAACCGTTATGTGAACAAAATTAATATACCCTTGTGCACAAGTGCGCTCGGGTATAAAAATCACTTAGTTAATATAAGCAGTGACAGACAGACCGTTTTGGTCCGTATTAGAAAGGCTGGTTAAACATAAAATACAACAGAAGAAGTTAACAAAAAAAAAAAACAAAAACAAATACAACTTTATTAAAACAATAATACAATGAAGAATTGTCTAGTGGCGCTCAGGATATTGCCAGAATGTTATATTATTCCCACAACATTATTTCAAATGTACCAAATATCAAATTGTACGTTGCATTTTGAAGATGAGAGAGCGACAAAGCAAAAATAAAACAACAAAACAACAAACACACACTGCAGCAATTCCATTGCGAGCTGCACGTTCATCCTGCGACTGGCCCATTGAATGCTCCAGCCATGCACGAGCTTTCAAACTTTACTTGATTCCACCCGAATGGTGGGTACTAAAGTGAAATTTGAAATTGGCTCACTCGTGTGTGGGTGGCCTTTTGGTTTGGAAAGCTACATTGACGGTGAACATGTCGTTTGTGTTTCGTCGATGGAGTGCTACAATGTGTTACCCAAAAGTTCGAAGGTAGAAAGAAGAGGGGAAGGGAAATTCAAGTGGAAATAAATGTATTTTAAATGTTAAACAAAAGCTGTTGTTTATTTTCAAGGCAAGATTGCTGCTATTGCATATCTAGTATATTAATCACCTACGACACATACAGAACTTTCTTGGAAACTCATTTTTCGGGTAACAGGTCAATTCATGACGCAGGCAAAAATATGGTGAAGGACAATGGTAAAGTGTGGGGCAGACCGGCTTATATGGGCTTTAATACGAGTTTTTAGGGCCTGTCTAGCATTTGGTCGCTTTCCCACTCTTTGGAGAAAATCAGGTCGTCAGGCCAATCAATCTGACATCATTGATACTCTAAAGTCGCGAGCGCACGGTCGGGAAGTACATTAGATTAAGGGTTTTGTTATACAGCCCCCTTAGTGTTCCTTTTGAAGATGGTGTGCTATATGTACTTTGCTTCCTCTATTTTTGTGACAACATTAAGATGCACTGAGATACCTGCAGTCGTACTTTTACTCCAATTAGTATGCGTGTTTGCATTTATATTAGTACTCGGATTCATCTTCGTATTCGTACTTTTACTCGTATCTGACCTTTATTGATTTTTATATGTATTCATATTCATATTGATATTGATATTCACATTCATATTCTTATTCATATTCTTATTCATACTCATATTCATATTCATATTAATATTGATATTAATATTCAAATTTATATTCATATTCATATTAATATTAATATTCGTATTTATATACATATTCATATTCATATTCATATTCATATTCATATTCATATTCATATTCATATTCATATTCATATTCATATTCATATTCATATTTATGTTCTTATTTATATTAATAATCATATTCGTATTGGTATTCATATTCGT